AGCAGGAACAGGAGCAGGAATCGTCCCCAATTTCACTCTCTCTCCTGGGTGTGGGATAGTGTAAAGTTTTGTACCAGATACGAACAGGAGGTGGCAAACCCCTAGGTGATGGAGCCAAAGCCTTGTGTCCGATACCTTCAGGAGGTCAGAATCACTGCAGTCAGGTGATGTGCGAAACTATAAACTCATTGATTTTGCTGTGTTGGAGAAATTTTGTGAAATTCTACATTGTCTCTCAGTGACAATACTGTGAAGTATCTGTAGCAATATGGTCTGCAGCTGCAAGCCTGTTATCCTTACAGACAGCATTCTGCAAACATAACAGATTACCACATGCAAAAAGAATGAGGGAGGAGGGGAAAAAAAACCAAACAAAAAATACATCTTAGAAGTTACCTATGTTTAATGCTTAAAAGTCTGAATGCACAAACAATAGTCTACCATTATAGAAGTACTGGTGGTCAATACAATGCATTAGAACTATGTACAATGACACAGTTTAGTATCAAAATCTTTCTACAATGTAGAGTATTACGAAACTGTTAATGACATCAAACACTAAGCACTTAAGACACCATTTTTTGCTACCACATTTGGAACTTCAATGAACAGTCCATCTTAACTTGCAGCATCAATCCATTTCTAGTATGAAATTAAGTCATTTTCTACTTATACAATAAGATTTATCTACACGGGTCTTTTGATTTTGATCCATAGCAGCAAAGGCACTGTACATCAGCAGATCCACAGACTTAAAGAATTTTCTTTTTTAAAGCATTCAAAAAAAAAAAAGTCACAGATCATAGTTTAACAGCAACAACAACAACATAAAAAGATAACATGTTATCTCTGGCACAATGGCTCAGTCTGTGTCCATTTTAGGGACATCCAATCAAGACTTGGATTGAACTGCTGGCGAACAAAGCAAGTCCTTATCCCAATGAGAATCCATTCCTTTTTGTATGTCGGAATGAGTACTCTTGTAAATCCTACCTAGGAGGTCATTGCTTTTGGAGTTTGTATATTGGTAGGCATCCATTCTTATTTCAGTGCAGTTTCCAAAGAACATATCAAATATTTTCATAATCTCTTGTAATTGAAAAATTGCCCAAAGACACATATCCCCATTTTCAAGGAAACATTGCAAAAGTTTCCAGAAGTAACAAAGGTGATTCTTTGAGGCAACTTATTGTACTCTCTAGAATATAACAAAGAGAGGTGTTTATATTAAAAAACCTAGCTTGACACCAAAACGCTTTATGTTTATCAACAGAAAAGCATTGAGAACAAATCTGTACACAAGATGCTATATTAACATTGCAAATATATAAATTAGCACATTCTTACTTAAAGTGAATTTAATTTAGATGTGAACTGAATTTGCCATTCATTACAGGCTTGTAGATCACTGGCTACAGTTTGCAATTTCCTAAGTTTCCAAGACTGTCTAAAATGTCAAGATACAGCATCTTCCCACCAAATAATTATACTGTAATAACACTTAGAGGTCTCATCCAAGAACAGGACTAAAAAATATAACAAAGTTTCTTTTTTTAAATAGAAACTACAAGTCTTACTTAGTGTAACTTTAACTATCTCCGGAACATCCTTCTCCAAGATCCCCAATTTATTCAGCTGCAAAACCACAAAGTATACAATGCAACTTTCAAACTAAAGCCGGGCCAGACAGCTTTATTTAGTCAGTTCATTGTTAGAAAGCCTTTTTAAAGAAAATAAATACATTACAGCTATAATACATAATTATAGAGTCAAGTTCACTGTTAAGTATGCTTATTCCATCTTCTTCCAAATAGATATCTGACAATTTGGTATCACGAGTTCTTAATAAGCATTCACAAATCAACAGCAAGTTAAAAAGGTAAAAAGAAATTTCACAACTGTGATGGATGAGCATTTAAGTTCTCAGTTAAGAAAGAAAAAAGAAAAGGAATATACAGCAAAGTGCTAGGAGAAGGAGTTCTGTCTGTATTCAGATTTGTCCCTAATAAATAACTTCGTAGACTGTAGCTTTCTTGTCTCCAGAGCCAGTGACAATGTATTTGTCATCCACAGAGATATCACAGCTAAGCACGGATGAGGATTCTTTGGACTACAAGAAAGAAAGAAAAGAAAAAAAGAAAAAATTACAGCTTTCCAATCCTTCAACCCAGAAGGGCTTGAAGATTAATTGGAAGAGTTTATAGAAAGGGAATACACTGAAAGCTTATTTAAATATCAGTACCGTAGCGGCAGCTTTTGCTACAAAGCTGTTTCTCCAAACTGGTTGTACCTAAAGCTCTATGGCAACAAAATACAGCAGCAGAAAGGGAAGCAAATGTTATGAACCTAGAGATAATCTATCAATCAAACAAAAGGAAGCAGTCCTTTCTATACCCTTTACAAGTAATGAGCATTTATTAATATTTTATACATGAGCTGCTGCATAAAAATGAATGAAAAGCCATATTCTTGTTGTTCTTCCTTCCCTTTTTGTTGTAAACCAGAAATCCGTATGGAGAAGCACTACAAAGCCCTGCTCACCCACAGGCATGAGACAAAAAGACTCCACAGAAGTCACTCTATCTCCTCTCACTATTTCCCTAGCTCTGAAGTCTTCGTGCCTTACACAAAGGAATTTACATTATCAGGGATGATGCAAATATGAAAAGATATTATGGTGGGATAGGATGCACAACAGTGTACAGCAAGTGAATGGGAGACAGAATACATCAAGATGCAGTAGCTCTGTCTCTCAGGTCTTTTCTGTGTTTTCTGAGATGACGTGTATGTACTTGTCATATTATACTTGCTGTTTCAGTGCATGTTTTCTTCACATAACATATGTCCCTGTTCTTCTCTATCTGTCATTGCAAGAGCTAAACACTTCCCAATCATTTAAAGTTTTTGCCAAGAAACCTCTGCTGCATGGCACAGGAAGTTTCTTTCTCTACCCCTCATTAAGAAAGCTACACTGGGGTTTTAACATCACTTTCAACGAAGGTGTGTTTTTGTTAGGATGATTTGGGCTTTCTGTGGGAGGTGGTTCCAGAGCTGAATAGCCTCCACTAAATAATATCAGACCTCAGCATTCCCATGTCAAGGCAAACTGTGCTGTCCCCAAAGCAAAAGGCACAGCAGGTAGCACAACGGGTGAGACCTAACCATTTAAACCAGAACACTAGTTAGTTAATTAAAAAGTACCCAGCCTAGAGGTACCTGTAGGTGAAAGAAGAGAATGTCATGCCAAAAATCTCACTTTTCTTTAATGGCACTCACTGAAGTGCCATTAATATTGGGCACAGAGGCACTGATGAGTATAGAAAGCTTACAACTTCCAGTTACACTCCACAGGGCTCCTCCATAAGGATACAGTCTTTTGCTTAGGAGTTTGACTGCCCAATCCACTGACTTTACACATCTCATCCAAGAAAAATACACATGCTGAGTATGTCTCTCACCGGTTTAGCTCAAATTTTGGACATTAGGAATGTTCACCTAATGACATGACTTGGGTACTATATTAGAGCAATATGCACTAGAAGGCGAGAAAGAAGGGTATTAAAAGCAATTGCGGATTACCAGGCCACTTTATTTTAAGAGCTAGATTACTCAAATGTTAGAAAGGACAAGAGCACATCTCTCTTTAATTACAGACAAAATCTTAAAGGAATATAGTAATTAGCCAAGAATTTCCATTTAAACCTCCTTAAGCTAATGACAGACCCTGAGATGTGCAGCTCTACTGCATTGTAATGTATGTGCAGAACAGCTTTTAGGAGATTATTACCTGGAATATACTGGCTCCATAAGGTGTTCTCCAGGCATTAAGAAGATTATCTTTTCCAGTGCTTACAAACCATTTGCCTGCAACAGATTGTTTAAATGTTATTGTTGCACTTTTTTTTTTTTTTTTCAAAGAATGTACCTCAGGAAACAGATCATAAAAAACAATGCATTCACACATATCCAAAGGACAATCCCACATTTATCTGGTTGCACTATAATGTTCAATCACAACATAAGCAGTTCACACAAAAAAGCAGTCATATAGAATTTTAAAAATCGTTTTAATACTTAAAGATCTAACTTTTAACTATATCTTTACTTTCATTTAAAGGTAATTTTGAACGAATTTCTCAGGAGGGGAAACACTGTCATAGAAAGATTTGCTTACCACAGTGAGCAAATTTGAGTGACAATACACAGCTCTCATGAAGATGCAGCTGATACTTGTCCGGTTTGGTAACATGCAGCACCTCAACATTACTGTTCTCCATTCCTACTGCCAACCACTCACCAGTGGGACAATAGCCCAGTGAGAAGATCTGGAATAACCACAGCACATGCTTCAATAAGTAGAGGAATGAGCTTCAGGTATCAAAACCAACTCTTGCTACACTGTTAACACTGAACAAAACCACATGTTGGTCTAGTACAATTTTAAAAACATGATAATCCAACTATTATAGTAATCACAATAAATTAGTTCATATAAACAAAGCTCAGTTAAAACTGTAAAAGAAATGCACTGAATCAAGCTATCAAAGTTAATGTCCTAGCTTGTCTGAAAGCATCAAAAAATATTATTGTAGAGTATTTTTGAACAAGAATCTACAGAAATGGGAACAGATTGCACACAGGAACACTTTAATCTGTCAATTCTTTTATAAAAAGATTCTCCACCACTCTCATGGGAGAAGTACTAATCTGTTGAATAGTCATAATCCAGAAAGCTGTTTAGCTGCCACACTGGAAAAAAGAAAAAGCGTGAGATTAGGTGAAAAATTCTTTGGAATTCGCTTTGAGCCTGTTTTTGCTTAAAATAAAATAAAATATATAAAAAAAAAACCCTCAAAAGTGCTTGTTTTAGAAAAACATGACAGATTTTCCTTAACATGCCAAAGCTTTTAAGATTGAACCTGTGATGTGAAGTCATGTTGCTGTAACTGTCTGCCTTCTCTGAGATCCCAGGATCTGACCGTATTGTCCAAGCCTCCTGTCCATAGTTTGGTGCCATCATTAGAAATGTCAATACAGCTCGCTCCATCTGTGTGGCCCTGAAATTGCCTGAAAATATTGAAACAAGACACACACATTCTCACACTGTAAAGAGTCGGTTCTGAGCATGTATACAAAATACCTCCTTTCTCCTTCAGTCCCTGACACACAGCCATTAAAGATAACAGCAACAGCAGATTCCAATCAAGCTGAGATTAATATAAACTCTGGGACAACCATGTGAGTTTTGTGATGAATTAATGAAGCACGCAGGCCAGACAGCCAAGCAGTAATTTGATTTTAAAAAGCACACTTTGCAGGTCAGATACTCTATGGATCTTTGCTGCTGACCATGCGATACCCACTATTTGACTGAAAGTACCCCACTACCCTGAAAGGAATGTAGCATGATCATCAAAATTAACTTAGTTTAAGAAGAATCCTTAGGCCACCAACAAAGCTGGGGAAAAAAAGAGCATGGGTATAAATGGGTCTATCACGGAGTAAAAGTCTGCCTTTATATGCAATACTGATATATTACACACAACATACACACTACGGTGTACAGTGCAGCTCTGTATGACTGGCTCCTAGCTTACTGTACTTTAGTGTTGAGCAGCAACCCATACTTCTAACACGCTAAGTTTGCAATGCAGTAATTTACACACATCTTTACCCAAGACATATTTGCTGAAGCACTGATTAAAGAGATTGGAGTGTGAGAATAGTGTATTGCATGGAAACAAAGAAAACCATCTGTTCAAGGAACATAGAGCAGTGTCAACACCAGCTGATCTTAGGCAGTTATGGGCTGCTCACCAGGCCTGGAATTATGAAACTCTCAAAACCTATAAAAAATTCTATAGAATTTTGTCAAGGTATTACCATGGCTATTGCCTAGCAATGAAATACTGGAAGCAGCTATGCAGACACCATGAGGAAAATAGCATATGTATGCAGAAGAGCACATAGAGCTGTGTCTAAGTAATTCTTCACTACCTGATGATCCAGTTCTGTCGACCTACCTTACTAAAGTCTGGTTATGCAGATCCCACACTGCAATGTTCCCATCGCTACAGCAAGAGAAGCAGACCTTAGAATCAGGGCTGATAGCTAGGGCATAACAAGCCGGAGCAGAAGATGTCAGCTCTGCTTTGATACGAGGAGTTGGAGCTGCCAGATCCCAAATGGATAACGTGCTGGCTTCCCCACCAACAATCAGGGTGCGGCCGTCAGGGAGCAATCTGCAGGAACGGATGTAGTTATCTCTGTTCTGTGGAGACAGAAGCCATCAAGAGATTACTCATGAGGAAAGGAAAACAGCATTAACATGAGAGCAGAAATCCATAGAAGTATTGTATTCCCTCCTGGTTTTAATGAGCCATTTATACTATGACAATGATAAAGTGTATTAATGCCAGAAAATTACATGACATTAGGGAAGTACTTAAACTTGATCTACAAAATTCAGCAGTGAAAGATATTTAATCTTAATTAGCATCAAAATGCAAAGACCTAAACCCAGCCCAAAACAATTCAAGATAGCTGTATTTGACAGCTTGTGTAGAAAGCTGTATTTTCATACTCTGTTTATTTCAGCACATTAACCTCTCGGCATGGGGGAGTACCAAATTCCCTGCACACTCTGCCTGCTCTGTTCCAGTGAGACTTGCTGCCACCATCTAGATGTGTCCTGGGTTCAGCTACAGCAGT